CAGGCTTGCACACATGGTGGTTTCCGGATTCCAAGCACAGCAAGAGAGTCAAGCCCCAATGAGCCTGCTCTTTGCTGTATGCCGTGTTTGCTATTCTCCCTTTGCTAAAACAAGTCACATGGTGTGGTAACTAGCTTCTTAAATGGCTTCCAATGATTACTGCTTTCTAGTACTCATGCTCTTGTGTAATCCCCTTCCCTTGTGTGAGGGCTGGGCCTAATGACTTGTTTCTAATTAATAGAACATGGCAAATATGGAATATCACTTTCAGGACTAGGTTATAAAAGACGATGACTGCCTCTCTGACTCTTCATTTGCTTGCTCTGATAAAGCAACCTGCCATGTGTGAACTGTGCTATGGAGAGGCCCACATGGCAAGAACTGAGGGTGGCCTCCAGCCACCAACCAGTGAGGGACTGACGCCCTCAGTCAAACAGTTCCTTGAGGAACTGAATTTTGTCAACATCCAGTCAGCGATTGAGCTTGGAAGCAGATCCTTCCTTCCCAGTCGAACCTTTGGGTGAGTCTATAGTCCTGGCCCACAACCTCATTGTAGCCTTGTGAGAGACTTTGAAGCAGAGGATCCTGCTAAGCCGTGCCTGGATTCCTGCACCACATTAACTGTGTGTAGTTTTAAGCTGCTCAACTTGGGGGTATTTTGTTACACAACAATTGGTAACTAATACACATAGTTAAGCCCACAGTTAGTGTGGGAGGGGACCATCCAAGGGTATCGATACAGCAAGATGAATTATCCATACATATTTGCAAACGATTTACCACAGACTGACTTTTTTCAGCCTCTTGGAGTCTGAGAAGAAATAATTTTCATTCCTTCGATGAGCAAGTACTAAGTACTGGGAACAAGGTAATGAACAAGACAGATGCGATATTCCTACCCTTAAGGAATTTACAGCTTGCAAGGGAGGGGTGGAGAAAAACATTAATTTGGCAGTTACTTCTTTAATTGTTTGTTTAAAGTTGGGATATGTGATTAGAACCAAAAACCAAAACTCATTGCCATCAAGTCGATTCCTACTCATAGTGACCCTATAGGACAGGGTAGAACTGCCTCCATAGGGTTTCCAAGGAGCAGCTAGTGGATTCGAATTACTGACCATTTGGTTAGCAGCCTGAGCTCTTAACCACTGCTCCACCAGGGCTCCGTGTGATAAGAAAGGAGAGTCTATATAAAAGAGGGATATAATTTAGTCTGGACTGGTCAAAGAAAACTTCTTTGAGGATGTGGCAGTTAACCTGAAAGCTAGGCAGAGGGGAAGGGGGGAAAGGGGGAAATTCTAGGCAAAGGGAAAGGCATTCTTAAAGGGAGGCTAGAGAAGTGGTCTGCAGCTATAGGACAAGCCCATATTTATGATCAAATTAAATCCTATTATGTGATAATGGTATTTCTGGTTATGGTTTGAAAAAGAGCTCCTTTAGAAACACGTGCTAAAATATTTGCGGATGACATGTGATGTCTGGAATCTGCTTCAAAACACTCCAGTGGTGAGGGTGGGGGTGGGCAGGAGTGAGTGGGGCTGTAAATGAGACAAGATTTTCTCGATCAGATGATGGGTACCTGGTGTTCACCATACTAGTCCCTCTCCTTTCGTAGATGTTTGAAAATTTCCATAATAAAGCTGTTTTAAAACTTATATCCTGACGACAAATCCTAAAGGCCATGTATATACATGTTTGAGAGGTCACAGCACATTTACCTCCTCCTGTTCAATTCTGGAAACCCTGGTGGCACAGTGGTTAGGAGCTACAGCTGCTCACCAAAAGGTCAGCAGTTTGAATCCACCAGGCGCTCCTTGGAAACCCTATGGGGCAGTTCTGCTCTGTCCTATAGGGTCACTGTGACTTGGAATCCACTTGATGGCAGTGGGTTTGTTGTTGTTCCATTCTAGATAGTGGAGGTTAAAAGATCTTTTGGGAAAGGGAATGGAATAAGTTTTGTGTTCTAGAAAATGTGAAGTTTTCTCAGCTCCAAATCATGTGGCTGACATGAGGTGGGGTGTTTGTGTAATCTTCCTTGCCTCCTGGCTGAAGTGGTATCTTGCATTATTTCTTATGCTCATTTTTCACTAGCAGAGATGCTTCTGTTTCATACATAGTGGAATCTTTTAACGTGGATCGTGGTAGAGTCAAAGTCAGCGGAAGGACCCTGTTCAAATATTAATTACTGAAATACTGGAAGAATTGCTCGCCTATCATATGGTTGGTGTTAGAGTGAGTTTGAGTTGGGAAAGAGGAAAATAGGGTGAAACAGATGGGAATCTCCCTTCAAAAAATTCTTGATTGGTTTACTGCAGCGATAATGTGTTCCTGGGGTTAAGTTTTCCTTTTATTCGTGTTATGCCGAGCTGGAGCAGACTAAAATTAACAGCAGGGAGGATAGATTTTATGAGTCAGGGATGCGCTTCAGGATTTTTTTTGGCGGGGACTGGGGCTGAAGAGACGATGCTTCACATTTACAACTGTTTCAGGATTCGCTTATTTGGGGGAACCGTGTTTTGTGACTCTGATTCAAGCCTTTCTAGAAAATACTTTCGTCATCAAACTGACTCTCTCCTGAACCCCTAACAGATGAAGATTTCTTCACGATGAGTTAGATATATGGAAATTGCATTTCCCTTCTCAAGCCTAGGTTAAATAAAAGGGAAAATTATGAAAGATTGCTTGTGGCAGCAAGGACTTTTGGCACTTGGGGATGAATTTGGTTATTTCAAAATGACGAGGACTCCGCCGTCAGTGCAAAACGAGAAAGGATCAAAGTCATGGCGAAAGAGGAGCCGGGCAGAAGCGTGTTCTCACACAGCTGAAAGGGCTTTGTTGTTGTTCCCTGAACCTTGGTAATTACCGGCATTTTCCTCTGCCCTGAAAAACGTTTGGCAAATAGCGAGGGGGTCCCCCGCTCCTTTTCTGTGTTCAAGGCTGCTTCTGGCCTTGTTGCAGGGAAACACCAATTCCCAGCAGTGCTCCCCAGGAGCAAATGGTTTGTTTTCTCTTCACCGAATCCAGTCTGGGGTCGGCTCTCAGCAGCAGAGCCTGGCATGGAAAAATCTATTTGGAGCAACTTGTCCCCTGGAGGGAAGAATGCAAGTCGAATGTGTGGCGGAGCCGCAGCCACCAGCCATGCCAGTCACACCCGCTGGCCGAGGCAGCCTTTCACACACAAACACACACACAGGGTCCAAGGCAAACACGAGTCCTGCTTGTGTGTCCATACAGACATGTACAACATGTACCCAACTATACCCATATATACCACACACACACACTGGACATACACACACTCCACATAACAATCATACCCACCCACACACCATGTACACACGCATACATACACAGCAACTACTCACCTACCACACAAGTCATATACACCACACACAGTCAACTACACACACATATTAGTCATAC